ACCCGTAAAAAACTTTCACGGGGCCGTACGAGTTACCCGCGGGTACGGGAAGGCTGAATTTAAATTGGCCGCGTCACCCATTAACGGGGAGCACTATACCAAAACTTCAGCCGCCTAGCTTTTGTGTTTCCCGAGTTGAAAGTGCGGGACAAAATCGGGACACACACACAAACACACGCACAGACAACCCCGTGACAATATGCGTTTTGTAACGCTGTTACACAGCTCAAAACGTATAAAAACCAACCTGTTCCTTATCGTATGATGCGAGCATCTGTATAAGCCAGCGAATCTGTTCACTGTCGTGGGTATACCCGTGGTCCGGTTTGATTGCTGCTTGTAGCGCGGACTCGCTCCACGTTCGTTTCCACGTCTCTTCGGAGCAACCGCAAAATAGCTCCTCCATCTGTAAATCACGGAATTTCGTTTGGAATGCTCAATTTCGGCAAAAAACTTCAGCAGATTTTACAAGATATCATAGGTATGAGAAAATCAACATTACTGATTTAATGGGCCTCAGCCACAAGTCAGAACTCCAAGGGTTGCCAGAAAAAAGATGCCAAAGGAGTTATGTTACCTCATCTGGGGTGAAGCACGTCAGGTCACTGATATTGATAATTGTTTCAAATCCTTTACGTACAGCCTCCATTTCACGGCGTACGCCTTCGACCAGCTGCCAGTGAGCGACCAACTGAAAAAGTCGAAATCAACAGCTTTCAAAGAAATCCCACAAGTAGCAGAAAAAAAAAAACATTCTAAAAAAATAAGCAGGACCTTCACGAACTGCAGAACATTGGAACTGGTAACGGCTCGATTCTTGCCACCTTTCACAAGCTCAAAATTTTCGTCACCAGGCAATGTGAAATACTGCAACACATGTGGATAACAGACGTGAAAAATTAATCACAACAGCGTAAAAAATAAATCGTTCTCAAACTTCTTGCCCATCTTAATGATTCATACAACACAGGCTTTCAAGAGGAATAATCGCATAAATTAAAAATATATAGCAACGCGCGCCAGACTAGCCGGTGCAATCATGGGTTTTGTGCAGTTTAGCCCACCGAACGACTGCTTATTAATGATTTTCGCTGCTTTGTACTTTAGTCTGTGCAAAAATAGT